CTGTAGTTTATTCGGTCTGTTCAAGTAAACTCAAACTAACTAACTGATTGCTCACTAATTCATACCTCCTTTTTTCCCCTTCAGGCTGAAGCACAGCATCGGGCCACACAAATGGAGGCCCATTTTTCTGAGGAAGACCAAATCAGTCTCTCCTTTGATCTCTTTCATCCAAGCCACAGGGAGATGTGCAATGTATGGAAAACAATCTGAACATGTTGACACCCAGCAGAGGGTCATATGGACAAAATCCGCAAAATATAGGTGCCGCCTGCACCCTTTCTGTTTTCTTTTTTTTTCTTCTTCTTTTGTTCACAATTTTTGCTTTTTCTATTATATATATATATATATATATATATATATATATATATATATATATATATATATACATATATATATATAAAATTTTTGATCATTTATTTTTTTGAAGCGCCTTGTGATTTTCATTTTGAGAGGCACTTTTAAATTGTGTATGAAAATGTCAAACTTTTATGTAATAAAAAGCTGAAAAGTCAGTTTATTGTCCATCCTTTGTGAAATTACATCTGATCCTGCTGTCTACTACTAAACATATGCAGTAGAGCTTATTTTTTAAATGAAATCAAGACACTGCTGTCCTATATTACTTGTTTTTATGGTTTTTATACATTTGTTTTGCCATTCTGGTTGTTTTTGCTGTTAATCTGCCATTAGTTTTGCAATATAATTTCCTGTGGGATCTACATAATGAATAAAGGTGACAAAAAAAAAGATAACCTGAAAACGTCTCTGCAACGTGCCACAAACATTTAGTTGGTATGTTGTAACAACGTTACAATAGCAGTGTCACAATATCTCAGTAAAGTTGCGGATATGTCGCGACAACTTTCCAGCAACGCCCTCTGTGACGTTCTGACAACGTCGTGGCGGAACGTCACTTTGGAAGTCGCTACTACGTAACATACGACATTCCTGCAACATCACAAGGTGTCAGAAAATACGTTACGACTACGTTGTTGCAACAGACCTGCGTTAGGTTTTACCGTAGCAAATCTGCAACACCTGCCTCCAAATGGTTAACTGTCTTGTTAAAGGACTCAGCAGCAGCATTCTCTGGTCAGAACCTGGATCAAACCTGCAACCTTCCGATTACTGGACAACCTGCTCTACCCCCTGAGCTACTTCTGTGAACTGGTGGTAGCACATTACATGTCAAAGTATTATTATCAGGAGAGTGGTTAGCAGCAGTGTGCTAGCTGATGGCCCCTCCACGAGGCCACCACAGCTCAGCAGAACGCCGTAATGAAATTAGAGAGAAGTGGTTGAAGAAAGTAGTAGAGTGTGGAAAGTGGTCAGTATGTCCTCCAGCAGTCTAAGCCTATAGCAGCATAACTAGAGATAACTCAGGACAACCTAGCCTTTTAGATGGAGGCATGTAGGAGCTTTTTAGCTTTTTGTTATTTATGCAAGTCATTAACAAATTGCTAAGATTTTTTGTGCCATCACATTATGATTTTTATTAGAATTTAGTTTTTAAAAGCAACAACTGAATTATCGTCCTTAAAACAAGCAGGAACTACATATTTTTCTGGTGCATCCTGGAAGACTCCTTTCAGCTCTGCTCCTTGGGAGTTCATGGGCAACCCTCTGACTCACTACACCCACTCCCTGCTGTGCTGACAAAACATTTTCTGGAAGAATCAGGCTTTTAGAAACTCAGTTTGCTTATTTTAAGCTCTACTCCCCTCTGCATATCCCACCTCCCGTCTCTGCATGTTTAAGTTAATATCGAGAAGGATGCGGCGCTTATGCCACCATAGGTCTCCCTCTGTGGCTGTGTGCTGTACATAATAAGTGGGGCACACAAGAGCTCACACGTGGATGTGACAAGCTTCAACCTGTTCCAGGCACATAGATCGCACATACTTCACAGCTACAGCACACGTCAGCCTGCTGGCCGGAGGTTTGGCTTCAGCCTCTTCTTGGAAATCAAAGTTTTACCAGACAACAAAAGGGGTTTTAACAAATGTTCTTTAACAAGCTCTTTCAGGCCCGCATCAGCAATACAGTGATCGTGACTGATTAAGAAATTCCCACTCTCTGCTCTGTTACAGATCCTAGCAGTGAGTCATTGCTGAGCTTTCAGGAGAGGTGTGACATTCTGGGGCCGACTGATGCTGCTATACATGTGGAGGAAGCAGGTGGTTAGATCTTAAAGGCCAGAAACCTGGTGGGTAGGGTACAAAAAGCATAACATCGAATTCAGCTATTTAATGTCTGATTATGTAAAGAAAAACCCTAATCCCAATCATTTCTGTCATTATCATACTTTATAATTACGATGATTTAACACGGCTTAGAAAAACTAACCAGAGTTCAAATTTTAAAGAGACTACAGGTAGGCAACATGAAAAGTTGAAGTCACTATAGATCGTTTTTAAACTTTAAGCTAGCAGTTTCTGGACTTGGTGTCCTTGTTCCAGAGGTACAAAGCAGTCTTCAGCAGTGATTGGTATGCAAGTTACTTTTCGAAAACATTTCACAGTGTATGAAGTAATCCTTAACAGAGTTTGGTGGCGGGAGAATCTCGTCTCTGCTTTTTGCGGATGATGTGGTCCTCCTAGCTTCATCCAGCTCTGACCTTCAGCTCTTGCTGGGTAGGTTCACGGCCGAGTGTGAAGCGGCTGGGATGAGGATCAGCACCTCCAAATCTGAGACCATGGTTCTCGACCGGAAAAGGGTGGCGTGCCAACTCCAGGTCGGGGGAGAGGTCCTACCTCAATTGGAGGAGTTTAAGTATCTCGGGGTCTTGTTCACGAGTGAGGGTAGGAGGGATCGGGAGATCGACAGGCGGATTGGTTCGGCGTCTGCAGTGATGCGGACGCTGAGCCGATCTGTCGTGGTGAAGAGGGAGCTGAGCCAGAAAGCCAGGCTCTCGATTTACCGGTCGATCTACGTCCCAATCCTCACCTATGGTCATGAGCTTTGGGTAATGACCGAAAGAACGAGATCGCGGATACAAGCGGCCGAAATGAGTTTCCTCCGTAGGGTGGCCGGGCTCAGCCTTAGAGATAGGATGAGGAGCTCGGACATTCGGGAGGGACTCGGAGTAGAACCGCTGCTCCTCCGGATCGAAAGGAGTCAGTTGAGGTGGTTTGGGCATCTGGTCAGGATGCCTCCTGGACGCCTCCCTGGGGAGGTATTTCGGGCATGTCCTGCCAGCAGGAGGCCCCCGGGTCGACCCAGGACACGTTGGAGAGGTTACATCTCCAATCTGGTCCGGGATGCCTTGGGGTCCTGCCGGAGGAGCTGGTGGAGGTGGCCGGGAGAGGACGGTCTGAGCTCCCTAGTTGGGATGCTGCCCCAGCGACCCGGACCCGGATAAGGGGAGGAAGACGACGACCACGACGATGAAGTAATCCTGCACGTTTTTCAGGTAACAATAAAAGTGTTGGAAAAATGGGAGGGGATGAATCGATTTGCAGCTGAGAAAGCCATGCTTCAGCAAATTCATTTGTACCCAAAATAAAATGGTTGTGAAATTAAGTGTTTCTTTGGTTTTCTTGTCTTTCACTCAAAATAAATACCAACTAGCTAAGTAGTTATCAGCTGTAGTAGTTAAATTCTTTTGCAATGAGCTGCGGTGACACACAATAGGACAGTGTTATGGATGTTTTGTAACTAATTTTTGTTGCTGGTGAGAGAGGAGTGTTGCTGAAATATTTTTCACTGCTTCTGGGAGTCCTGTACTTTAGCAATTGGTGTAGGTCAAAAGTTCATCTTGGGCTTAACAATAAAACTGAATATTTAGCAAGTACTATTTTTTTTGCACTTTTTGAAAAGTCATTTTTTCTATACGTTTTTTTATTCACTTTACAGCCTTTTATTGTTGTGTGTATATATATATATATACACACACACACACACACACATGTATGTGCTACTGCCATAAAAATTCCCTGTCTGAAGGACAAAGGGATTTAATATTCAATTTTCATGCAACGTAGGTAACAACGTTATTTAAAAGTTTGCCAGTCCAGATCTGAAGAGAAAAAAAATCCGAAATAAAAAGCTTTTTCCGGTGAATTTTGTTCTAAAAAAACTACTTCCAGTGAAAGTAATGACTTCTGGTTAAGGTAATGACCCATCGTGTAATTTTTCTCTTAAATATGTACATATCGAAGAAAAAAACGACACGGTATGGTTTTTCCTAGACAAATCCAGACTACTTCCGGCGAAGGTAATGACCCGATGTCTTGTTTTTCCGGATACGTCACTTCCTGTCACGATAAAGACGCTAGCTGATGTCTGCAGCCAGATGCTTGTGGGCTTTCTCAGTCCTAGCACCGTCACTCTGGAACCAGTTGCCACCCTCAGTGAGGCTGTCCCCATCTCTGCCAGTCTTTGAGTCGCCTAAAAACCCACCTCCTCCGCTTGGCGTTTCCTGAATGTGTTTGAATTTGGCCCTTTTATGTTGATTTTATTTCCCTGTTTTCATTGGTTCACTCTATCCCTTGTTTGACCCATTTGTCTTCTACTAGAATGTTTTACCTTTTTTTGTAATTTGCTTTTATTTTCGATTTATTCACCATATTTAACTTTCTCTTGTACCATGTTCAGCGCCTTGGGCTTCCCGATAGGGTTGCGGAAGGCGCTTTATAAATAAAGCTTTGATTGATTGAAATTAAAATTCCTACTATATTTGTATTTTGCTGCTTTAACAAATAAGCATTATGGGCGCAGGTAGTTCTCGGAAATATTTAAAAAATAAAATAAACTCAAACGCATTTACTGCTTCGACCAGCAGCATCGTAGGCTAAGGTAGCTTCCTTCATAAATGTAATTTATGCACTTTTTGATAAGATATATAAAATCATGAACGGCGAGAATGTAAAAGAATTTTTTTAACTGATGAATTAGTTTTGGTAAAATAAACGATGAAACAAGAGAAAGCTACACAATCAACAACGGTCTTCACCAACATTACCCAACAAAAAAACCCACAAAACAATGAAGACATCCGGTCAAAGAGACAAGTGCAACACGGTTTTATTGTCAAACTGGCAATTAAGACATGAACTTGATTAATTAATGCCATATCAAATCTTAATCTCCGCTGTAGTAAAGTGCAGGTTCATATCAAGTTGCCCTGGGTGTTCCTGTACATTATCTTTCTGCTGTTGAACTGGAAAATTAAATCCTACAAATGATGAAAAAAGCCCTTTTTTGTTCAGCCCCGCACATCTAAAGCTGATGTGCAAACATGAAAACACACAAAGCTTCACTACTGTTCTCATTTGTGAGTGACGAAGCCCCCCCCCCCCCCCCCCCCCCCAACCTGTGGTCTGGAGTCCAGAAGGAGTTGTCTTGAAAAGGTCTCCAACATGGTGGGCGAACGTTGGCAAGCTACCAAGACGTTTTCATTTTTGACTACTAAAGAGCGGCGCTGTTTGAAGGTCAGCTCATTTTCTGAACGGTGAGGAGAGGTCACGTTTGCACACGCCTGCACTCCCTCACTGCTGCGCGGCTTTCTACTCAGTCGTGCAGTACGGAATCTTCATGAGCGAGCACCACAACACTCAACTCCTGTCCTCAGTTTGAGTAAACTCATTAAAAAAAAACAAACACACAGCTTCACTTTTTCCACACACACACACTCACTCAAATTCATTTGCTCATCTTCCAACACTGGTTTAATGGGTTCGCGCCCACCCGAAGGAAGCGGCGGCAATGAGGTAAACACAAAAACTCATGAGATATTGCACAGACTAGAGCCGGCACAGAATACAACAGTCTCTTTTGTTTGTTCTCCAACAGCGCAGCCTGTGCATAGGAAGAATAAAGCACTTATGGTGTTTGCAGACATTAACCCCTCTCATAAAGCTTTGTTGTACAATAAATTGCAGAAAAAAAAACAGGTTTGGATAAACGACTCCACTTGGCAGATATCCAGATTTTTATGAACAGACAAATAAATTGCACTGTAGAAAAAAAATGATGAAGGGTCCAAAACTGTTGGCAACTGTGATGGGGCGACCAAAAATAATCCTAAAAAATAACACTAGGAGTAACCTGAAGTTCCAGCATTTGCAGAGATACCTGGAGGCTGCGTAGACAGAGGAGGAGCAGGCGCTTTATTTAAGCCAGCATGGAGAAAAATCTCTCAAGTTTCATTCAATAAATAGTTTGGTGGAATATGAAAAAAAAAATAAATCCCTCAAGCAAAAACATGTGAATCCCTGTAATCGGGTCATTCAGAAATACAAAATGTTTGCCGTGTTGCGATGCGTTTTTAATACAGCCGCGTCGGTCGATGCTGCGGCCACTCCGTTTCAACCGATCATTTTTAAACTCTTACGGGATAAATGGAGACATTTCGTGCATGTGATTCATCCAAGTTCATACTCGCCGTTTTCACCTCTCATAACGGTGCTCGTTAAGCTCCTCGTGGGAGCTGTAAAGCTCCTGGATGCGTTCGGTCAGCCCAGCGTCGTCACAGTCCTCCCCTTTGACGATCATTATCTGTGCAGCAGGACGAAGGCTTCCAGCTTCTCGGGAATGTTTCCCCGGTAGTCCAGGCTGTGCTTGATGATAGCCCTGGCAGCAAGGCACTGCAGCGTGGTGTGGTTGATGGGCTGGATGACATTTCTTGCCAGCTCCTTCTCGGCCAGGAGGTCGCAGGCGGTTTGCTGGAAGGCGTTGGTGCTGTCGAAGTGGGTCCCGGAGGAAATCAGCAGGTTCATGATGTCGGGGTGGCCGTTAGACGCAGCTATGTGGAGGGGGCTGGTGGAGACATGGACAGTGCGACAACTGAACAACCGGACGAGCTTAGCTGGAAAAACCCTGGAATAAAACTGACCTGTTGTCATCTTCATCCCGGCTGTTGACATCTGCCCCGCACTCCAGGAGAACCGAAGCCACCGTGAGGGAGGGGAACTTGCAGACGGGATAGCGACCCACGCAGGTGGTGTTGCGGTCCACTGCCAGGTGTAGAGGGCTGTAGCCGTTTTTCCCACACGGGTGGAGCTTCAGGAACCTGAAAGCGTGTAAAACTAAGTTTAACCACAACGTTCCAGCAACATGGGGATGTCAAGGTACAACGAGCCAACACAATTTGACCTGTAAATTGTTTCCTTCTTGAAATGATCCTGCTCTGCGGTACACGGCACCTTCTCTAAAAGACAAATTAGATGCAGGATGATTGAGAGCGCCTTGCTGAGCTGAATGGGCTCAGGCGGCATCGGCCCGCGTTGCTTCACTGCTCGCTCGATCTCCAGAACGCTCTTTGACAGAATTCCCATCAAGTCCTCAAAAGACACAGACGTCCCCAGGAGGCCTTTGGCCCGGTCCTGCAGCATGAAGGAGAAGAGCTCGGCGAACGACAGCAGGCTGGAGGTCGTCATGGGGCTGAGGGGCTCCAGGTTTGTCTGCTGCATTTCCAGGGCGTACTTCCACAAGTTGATGCAGCGCTCAAAGTTTCCAGAATCAGCATAGACAGCGCCACGGTAACGAATGTAATAGGAAGTGTCTGGGTGCTGCGGCCCGAGGATTCGCTCGCGGATCAGTAGAGCCTGCATGCGCATCTCATCTGGGTCAGATATCAGTCCGTCCAGCTCCTCACCATTTGTAACCTGGAAGAAAAGTTGAAATATTGAACCCCATTTTTTGATTCTAGCATTTAATTAGGTCTGTTACAGGATTACAGGATGGAGCTCACCTCTCTGGCATAATCATACGCCATGACCAGCTGCTTGGGTTCTGGTTTCTGAACCACGTTGTTACTGTCCAGGTATCGGAGGTCCATAGCTCTCTTCCAGTACTTCAAAGCTCCAAGCAGATCCCTCTTTTTGTCTACAAACGTTGCTCCCAACAGCTCCAAGGCATCGATTCGCTCTGTGTGACTTGTCTAAAGAGCAGAGAAAGTCACTTTTTTTAATCAGCTGACCCCAAACGCCATGTTCACCCTGACAAGCTCTCCAAAGGGGAGTGACTGAAAGTCTGACCTGCGGGTGTGTCGTCAGGTAGTCTACGATGTTCGTGTGGCCTGTGACACTGGCAGACAGCAGGGGGGTCATGCCATACCCATCCTGCTCCATGCTCGCGCCGTACTGCAGCAACATTCGCATGATCTCCAGGCTGCCCGACTCGGCACAGTCGTGAAGCGCCGTGTTGCCTGTGATCATAAACGCACGCATGCATGTCAAACGGACACCAGCTCTGCAGGAATTTAAGGTTAGAACGTGTCTATCAAAAATATGACACGGTTTCCAAATGCTTTTGTTTATTGTAACCATGGTAATATCATTTAACACATTTGATCTCACTAACTGTAGCTGTATCAGCTAATATTTCTCGTTAATGGCAATTCTGCCTCCAGCATTCTCTCTATTGATGCTCAAGCAGATAATGAGCAATGAATACATTACCTGTTTCATATCTGGAGAAGAACGGTTCAATTCTGAGCTAACCGGTCATAATGAGGCTGGTTTAATAAAATAATCTTTTTAATTATTCTGAATTTAGATGTTTTTCAGGAACGTAAATATGCATTTAAAATTCAGCAGAAGCATCAGACTGCCCACGGATGTGCCAGTTTTTATTTATTTATTTAAAATTGGCTCTACTTAAGAAAAAGTTCAATTGTTTTCTCCAACTCATTTGCAATGGTCTCCAGTATAAACGAATGCCTTGTGAGTCAATGTCTGTAGGGGAAAAAAAGCTCTAGTGCTCTCATGTCAGAAGCTAGAAGTGAACCACAGCCGAAGTGAGCAGAAAAACAGCAGGTGTTGAAGTCTTACATTAATATTCAAGATATTCGGACATCTTGCCTCTGATTGGCTATTAGCAACACAATTCTACTTCCAACTACCACTTTTTACAAGACGCACCATGCCGGGAAAATCAGCGTAATATTACGGCAACTGTGCGTCTTATAAACGCGCCGTGCTGGCATGGTGATGTGCAAATTAAGTGGCAGTCGTTCTGCCTCGCTTGGTGGTAATATTGCGGCAATCGTCTGTCTTATAAATGATGAATGCGCCTTGGCGCAACAGAAGGTAGAGTCGTGATCACATAAGGAGTTACTGCAGAGCTCTGGCCGCCAAATATATTCAAAATGAAAGTAAACAAGGGCCGTAAGTTTCACTTTTGCAACAGAAACAACTGAGAAGTTAAACTGAAGCGATGCAGCGCTCCAAGAGCTTCTCAAAAACAATACGAGTCTGAATCAGCAGTTGGCCTGAAACGGCGGTCTCCTGGTCTGCAGCCAAACACTATTGGATATTGCTGGGTTTCACTCACGCAACTCTGCAGTCGCGCAAAACTCAAATGGGGGACAGGAAGCGTCCTCCTTTAGTTTATGACCCATATAGTTTCAAAAGTCGGACTTTACATTCACTGTAGACTCAGCACTGAAGCGATCGGCATAACAAATCAACTTGTGCTGCATGCCTCATATTACACTGCAAACCAAATTAAAGCCTTTACAAGTAGGGATGCACCGATACGATACTGGTATCGGCACCGATACCTATACCGGTATTGGTAAAAGTTAACCAATACCAGGAACCGATACCAATGCAGTTGTTTGAAAATGGCTTCACTGTAACTTGTCATTTCTGTTCACCTAATATTTTAGTTTTGTGATAGCCTAGTGAACTAGACCAAATTCTTGCTTTGCAAAGAATGGTCTATGCACGCTCCATTGGAACCTCAGCAGCTCCTACCAGGACTCTGGCTAGCCAATCACAGCTCTCTAGAGAGGCTTCAAACACATAAAGAGCTGTGATTGGTCCATAATGGTGGGCCAATCATAGTGCTCTATCTGCTTAGTGAACAAATCACAGAGCTTTTTCCGCTTTGTGGGCCAATCAGAGCACTCTATATGCCTGGATGACGCAACAGAGTGAAACAAGAGTACGTCACATTCATTGTCCAGTGGAATGCGGAGATCATTTGAAAGACAACGGTAGAACCCGCCCCACAACCGAGAGCCGTCGATGGAGCATGGCCAGACTAAATAATACATTTACTTAGTCTGGCTAGTTTTGTGATGATTTCCATTCATATATTTTACTTTTTATCTACCTCCCAGTCTTTTCCTGTTGAAAACAGAAGAAAATCAAATCTGTATTCCAAATCATTGCATTTTTTTGTGTGGTAGAAGTATCAGTATTGGTAATCGGTATCGGCGAGTACTCAGATCCAAGTATCGGTATCGTATCGGTTTGGAAAAAAGTGGTGTCGTTGCATCCCTATTTACAAGCCCACAGCGGTTTTATTTCAGGTTGGTTAACCTTTTATTGATCTGAGGAGGCTTTAAATGACTGCCGTGTTGTTTTTGCTCAGGTAAGTAGTGAGTTGTGCTATTTTAATTGATTAACTCATGATAACAATGCTATTGCTAACAATCAGTATGTGCTAGAATATTCTTATAACAACCATTTTATGCCTTTTTAAATCCCAATTTCTGGTACGTTTGATTTTAATAAAGGTATATAAACGCTGCGTTACAACACTAAGCTAACCGCTAAAAACATTAGCACTCTGAAAGCTATTTGCGTTGAGGACACGTGAAATAAGTATCAGTATTCTAAGTAAGTGTTAACAAAATGCCATAAAACATTTAGTAATGTCTTACCTGTTAGAAAGTGATCGCTACTGTTATAAGCCGGAGATTACTGGTCCACATCTGAAGTCTTACTTCAGTCTTTTGTGGCACACTACATTCGGGACTCTTTGTCCCGATTAGTGTGATTGTAAAAACAGAATTTCGGCATTTTAACGCCCAGAGTAAATAGGGTTCTGTGCGACTAAATGTCATTTTCTTCTTTAAAAATAAAAATGTTTTGCTCCCTTTCCTCTGGTGAAGGAGGTGGAGAAATCCCCCAGACTAGGAATCCTGCTGCAGTTTCAACATCTAAATGGGGTCCATGTGTTAGCAGCATGTTTGTGATTGTTAGCGACACATACACATTTCAAACACGTCTTTTTGAAGCTGGTTTTGGAGCAGTGGCCTTTTTCTACCAACTTACTCATTGTCTTTCAATAATCAAGGGTCCCGCTACTACATTACAATATTCAACACAAGGAACGCATGTTAAACCAGCATCAACATCAGGATCAGCCGATCTTGGTCATTTTTAATATATCAGTATTGGTCCGATGAGTAAAACTGGGCCGATAATGTTTATTTCCTTCTTGTTTGCACTTTTGTTTGGACGGGGTTGGCCATGCGGTATTTGTTTGGGCATGTGAATGATAGTGATGCAGAGAAGCATCTTAGGTGGTTTGGTGCCTTTTACACAATGTCAAAGTGTAGGTGAAAAAATACAATTGATAAATATCTCCTTTTGGCCATATAACCTGCATTGATATTGGTCTAAATTTTCCTCATTGGTGCATCCCTATTCACCATCACACACATTTATTTTAGTCCAGTTAATAGTCACAAGCAACTCAATGTTTGGATTTATTCGTTCCACTCAAAAAAAAAAAAACAATGTGCTGCCCTTTTGCCATAATCACTAAAGTAAAAAAATAAACAGTCATCATACATAGATGAACAGGGAATGAATTCACCAGACAAGAGATGAGTTAATTATAAAGAACCAGTTTGAATCAGATGTGTAGGAGGTGGGACCTAAAATTACCCAACATGTGCCTGCTTGCAAGGCTTTTTCCAATGTTATGCAGAAAAATCTGAACAAAAATTAAATGATATAAAATTATCAGCACAGTCAAGTCCTCACTGGCTTTTTGCCTGGTAGAAACAAGGATTAAAACACTAACGCATAATTAAAATAAATAAAAACATGCTCCATCCCAGAGACACTCCCAGAAACCAGCTTTTTATTGTGAAACTAGAAGTTCATGTTGAAATGTTGAGTCATTTAGCCTGAAAGATGAACAAGCTTCAGCTATTTAGTGTCATATGACTTGGTCGTTGCCTGTTAGGCGAGTTTATTTTTAGATATTTAAGAGTACAAACTGCAGCTGAAATCAACCCTGATTTAACAGGATGTACAGCAGTTTAGTTGGCTTACCTTTTACACTTTTCCTATTGACATCTGCACCTTTCTCCAGCAGATACTGAGCTATCTCCTTGTGTCCTTTGTAGCAGGAGATCATCAGACACGTGTGCCCGTGTCTGTTGGCGACCTCCAAGTCAGCTTTGTGCTCCACCAGATATCTGACAATGTCCAGATGCCCGTCGAAGCAGGCGGCCCTCAGCGGGGTAGAGTTTGTGAGGGTGGTGCTGTTGACGGAAGCCCCGTGACCCAGCAGGGACTGGACCACTTTCAGGTGTCCCGCGGCCGAGGCGGCCCATAGAGGAGGCGCCCCCTCAATGGTCTCCCCGTCAAAGTTCACCGAGCCCCCGATCTCCACGGGGGCACAGCAGCACTCCAACAGGTACTCCACCAGGTCCAGGTGGCCGTAGCGGGCGGCCATCAGGAGCGGCGTGGCCCCGTTGGTCTTCTCGCCCATCAGCTTGGTCACCTCATGCCCATCTTTGTTCTCCAGCAGCTTCTGGAGCAAACGGAGCTTCCCGTCTCTCGCTGCGTTAAACACCGCCGTCTTTAAATCCATCTCAGACGGTGGGGTAAACACAAAGGCGGCGATGGAAGTGAAACAAAGAGATCGGAGTGTAGACGTCGTAGCGTGAACCTCCTTTTGTTTATAACCCCCGACTTCGCCAAATCCGTCGTTACGTGGCTTTCTGCGGTTCGGCTTTAAACATTGGGGCTGGTTGTGTGAATCTTTAACTCGGACGTTTGAAACGACCCTTGATCCGGTTGATACATTTGTTAGCGAAGGTGGCTAATCAACTTCCTCGATCAGTTCAACTAGCTCCGCTAAGACTGAACAACTTTTCACCTTATTGACCCAACAGCCGACCCTCCTCCGCTGACATTTCATCCCCCCCACGAAGCTCCCCTTCGTGAGATCCGTTTCCCTCGCTTGGCATAGTCTCACAGCATTTGACGTTATTTATATTCTGTTTTCGAGGGCCGAGATGAAGAAATCCACCCCCACCCGTAATGCTGCTGCTAGCTTAGCCTGGGAAAAACAGCGACGCTGAGCCGGACTGGCTGGGGATGTCCCCGCGTTATTCTTCTCATGCGCGTCGACAGGCTAAGCTCGGCTGTTTTTCTCAAAAAATGGGTTAATGTTATTCCTTTTGGCCCGTCGGTAAACTCACAACACCCTCAGAGAGAGAGAGAGAACGTAAATAAGGGCTAACCACCCACGGCTCTACCGGATGATCACGACTCGGTTTCTGTCGAATCACAAACGCGACGCAGTCTTTTCTTTCCACGGAGCGGATGATTGACAAGGCTGCTATCCAATCAGAGTGCAGTACGCCTGTTACGTAAGGAGTTTAAAGCAACAGAATTAGGAAGGTTCCTGGGGGGTTTCTCAAACCCCAGAGAGGGGATTAAACTAGGGTTTTATTGTCATCTTGTTTTATCCTTGATTCAGTCACAAAAGTTATCCTAGATATTCATTCTGTCCCATTAATCTGCTTCAAATTAACAGCCAGGTTTAATTAATCCTGAGGTGGTTTTTTATGATATACAGAGAAGTTATTCTAATCAGAAACACTAATTTTGCTTTACCTGGATCTAAAAAACCACAAGAATGTCCCAAAATTAAATTAGCAATTAAACTGTATATATATATATATATATATATATATATATATATATATATATATATATATATATATATATATATATATATATATATATATATATATATATATATATATATATACACACACACACACACAGAGACAGACAGACAGACAGATAGATAGATAGATAGATAGATAGATAGATAGATAGATAGATAGATAGATAGATAGATAGATATGCTCTTTCTCAGGCTGGCTCGCAATGTTTGAAAACTTAATCGGGATGTTTAAATAAATTCTTGGCCTAATCCTGTTCTACTTCCTTCTACTTTTGGGAAACCCAGAGCTCCACTTTGCTTAATGGAAAATGATTGTGTATTGGGAAAAACACAGCAAATTTAATAAAAATAAACAAACGTAACTACATAAGTTTCCTTTGCAATCGACGAGTATTTATTCAGTCAACTGCTGAATGGATGCAAAATGAGCTTAGGCAGCTTTGATTATAGCGCCCTCTGCAGGAAGGAAGAGGCAAGACCAGGTGGTGCATCTAGAAATTTCACATCTTTCTGATGTCACGATTTCATCATTAATGCAAATTTTAACATTTAACCGTAAATGTCTTTATTCAACAACACTAATAACTTAACAAAATACAAAAATGCCTTAGAGAAATCTACAAATTACCGGTGACCAGTTGGGAGAAAATACTATTGACTGAAGAACTTCACTCAGAATCTGATGGAAAAAAAACCTGAAAGAATAAGCTGAGGCATAATTGTATTCTCAGATGTCATTCAATTCATTGTTTATTTAAACAACCCAATTACTCTTTATATGATTTAATCAAATTACAAATTCAAACCAAAAATACTGGAATATTCCCACCCCATAACCTTCCAGCACACAAATTCACATCATGTATAAAACCAAAATGTCACTGAGTCTACAAGATAAATATACTGTCAGACTTTAAAACAGGAAAGACAACCTTACTCATGTTTGCAATGGAGCAAATGAAAGTTTGTAGAAGCTGGTGACTTTAAAACCGATGGTATTTTACACAAAAACTAATTTTCTAATTTTGTTGATCTGACACTGCTTTTTAAGTTATTGGGTAACTGACGGTATGCACTCGTTCAAGCCAAGCTAATAAAGGGGGGGGGGGGGGGGGGTTCTCTGTACAGCAAACTCAGCTCAGCTTATTTCATGTGACAAATGCATCTTGTTCACATCACTAAACTGATATTCATGAAAGTAAGATTTTTTTTTTAATAAAACTTTTTGGAAGTGCCTTTAGCACTGATTTCAGAGATGCAGTGACCTGCACATAAGGAGTTTTGTCTCACCTACCATCACTTTGCTCATTACCAACTGCACTATGGGCTGAAAGTCACGGCAGATTTGGAAGGGCGGGAGGCAAGTGGGAGGTAAAGGTGCAAAAAACACAAATAAAAGCAAAAATACACTTAGAAATTCTGATTTTTTTCAAACTACTGAACTAACTTGAACAGACTCAAATACAGACAACTATCCAATCAAGCCTTCCTTTCATTTTTCCTTCCTCTTCAACAACTTTAAACACACTTTTCCCCCTCAAAACTAATATGCATGAGGTTGTTAAGAACAGCAGTGCTAAATGAGAAATTGTCAGATTATCTCATCTGGTAGTCTGATATGATTCATTTCCTGTGCAGCACTGCTATTCCTACCCACTCTACGCACACAAACCCAGGTACAGAAAAAAGCAATGAATCCGATCCTGAACTCAAATGCTGTTATGATCCAACACGAGTCATAGTGGTCTTCTTGTCAGAGAAGAAGCTTTTTAGCAGGAGCACTTGGCTGATGCTGACCACCAGCAGGATAACCGCCTCTCCAATGGACCAGAATGCAACGCGGGTGTTCAGGTCTTCGGCCCGACTGCGTCCCTGGGATTCGCGGAGGCGGAAGTGTGTCTGGTAGTCGATAACAGACTTCAGTGCCTCGTGGATAGACACACACGCAGACTCCATCTGGAAACGGTGAACAAATTAAAAACTGTCAAGCAACAAACACTCTTCAGCAAAAAAAAAAAAAAAAAAAGGTACATACTGTCTTCCATCAAACACCCTTTTAGAGTGAATTTTGAACCATAAAGACCACACCTGCTCAACCCAGTATGTAATATTTGAAAATGTTTGCTTTAATTGAGTCACACAGTAAACACAACCTCTGTTTGGTTAGGATCCAGCCTTTGGCAGACTAACTAAGGAGTCGATTATTATGGTTTACGAGTCATACTGTCACGGTGGAATTTGGTAAAATGTAAACAGAATTTTTATGGTTACAAACAAAACCAATAAAAACAGAAAAACTTACCTGAGTAAGAGCAGTGACCCTATTCTCATTAGGGAAAAGTGGAGGGTCGTCACCGACCTGGAAGTCAAAGTAAACCGTCTTGTGTGTGAAGGTGGAGAACTCGTTGCTGAAGCAGAACTTGTGTGTCCCGTTCTTGGCTGCTGTAAAGGTGAAACTGTCATACTGCTTTTTCATCTCCTTGTAGAGTGTTGTGCCATCTGGGTCCTCGAGACGACAATCCACATCATAATGGCCACCCGTTACAACCTGAACACAGAGAGGAAATCCTAGTCAAGCATATTGTCGGGATTAGAGCACATTAAAAACAATAAAACTGCTATAAAAATGGCCCTGCATGGCCTGTGATTTTGAGCTTGAATCTACAAATGCTAAAATCAACAGCAGTGACCAACACTTTTGTCTCATCTGATAACTTTATAACGTTTACAATAATTTTCACTGGTAGATCGTTTATAATTAGGCCACGTGAATGTGTTGAAAGTCTATTTCAATCCTTATTTTGGTTGTTTTACTCTAAAAACCTGACATGTTTGAAGCTGCAAACCTCCCATTTGAGTACAAGATTGTTAAAATATGAACCTAAATGAGCCACACGCACCTGAAACTCCAAAGTACACTTGGTGCCAATGATAATGTCCTCGTAAAAACACTGTTTGGCGTTGTCTGGCAGCTCAAAAGTCAGCTCAGAGCCAAGCACCCACCCACAGAGCAGATGGGCCCACAGCACCTGCAACAGCACCCGAAGTGATCCGAACATCCTCGAGACTGAAAGTCAGTTGCTTCAGTGTTTAACCTAGGGAAATAAACTTAGTTAGAAAAATAAGTCAAGCAGAGCAATGCAGAAATAACGACAAAGCATAAATCAGCGAGACAGTTAGCTTAAAGCTAACAAGCTAGCTATCATTGTGTTTAAGGCAGGAACTCGTTTGTGTTACGCAACAAATGTATGCTGTTATTATACTCGTATATTTTATACATGTGTGACGAATGATGTTAAACTTAATTCAAGCATAAACGACTCTTAAAACATTATTTTTGTCCTCAATTCTGAATTACCGACTCACCCCAAAGTCAACACCCGGATGCAACTAATGCTAGGAAACGTATCATAAACGTGACACCGCATTGGCTGTCCTTCGTGAATAGTCCCGCCTTTAAAAGGCTCCCATTGGTCAGCTACAGACTGTAACGAGTGCTGGGGAGATCACGTGGTCTACGCTCAAAGACGTGAAAGCAGAACTCGGCTTCCTTTTTTAAAACAATTTCCAACGTGGCTGATACAAAGCCAGTTAACTGAATTGCGTTACTCCATGTATTAACTTAAAATTGTTGTACATATTTACATAATATGTTACAAAAAAGTTAGATTCAGACAACAAACAATTTAAAAATACTCATTTTGTATGTGTCGGGGCATTTTGCATATAAAAGAACTTACCTGTTGCTTGGTAAACAGGAAAAAAATGAACAACAATAAAACAATAATTGGTAATTGAAATGAGTCTGTTTTAAGTCTGTTTTGAATGCTTGTACATATTGTAAGTGAGAATGGTCTGTCGTCTTTATGTCTAATTGTTTATCTTATTTTTGTCTTGTATTTTTTTTATCTTATCTGTTTTTCTTTGATGTACAGCTAACTATGTCTCTTCTGCTGCTGCCTCTTGGCCAGATCATCGTCGTAAATGACTGAGTTCTCAATCGACTCATCTGGAAAAATACATGTTAAATAAAATAAAATAAACAAATATGGTTTGCTTTCAAACTTAAGTTGAAATAGACTAGATTTTCTTTGCTAGATTTTCATTTTCTATAAACTTGGGATATGATCCACACCATTGGAACACCATTTCTTGATACACTATGTAAACATTTGATTAAATTATAATATGGTCCAGATGAACACCATCATATGAAATCAGCTACACAAAACTATTTTGTGGCAACATAGCGGATGCAAGAAAGAAAGAACGAAAGAAAGAAAGTAAGTAAGTAAGCAATCTTTTATATAGGAAATCACTTATTTCTAATATTGGCAATCAATGAAAATCATATAAATGACAGCTGGCAGAATGTCAAACAAGTGCTAATCTATTGTCTGTGTTTGCATGTGTGATATGTGATGACCTAAATAAAAAAAAATCTGCAAGAAGAATTTATTATTTTTTTCATAGTTAAGTAGGCTTAACGGGGTTAACTCTTTGTTTTTTTTGTGGATCATCGTGCATCTTATTATATGCCCTTAAATAATTATACATTGTTAATTGCTTTTGATCACTTTTATTTCAATGTTGTTTCTGATGGCTTTTCATAACCTTTCATTCGTTTTTGCTCATGTATTTGTATAATATCTATGATATATATTTACATACAGTAATTTTACCAGATACAAAATAACGAGATTAGATTGTGTGAATTACAAAAAAATATAGACTAATCGTCAAACGCACCACACTCCAGTCGCAGAAACCGATGACCATACTGACCTTAAAACGAAGTCTCGCGTGATCAGGAACGAGATTACAGTGTAGGGGAGGGCTGCATGGAGAGCTGAAAAGACAAAACAAAAGCCACACATTTCAGGCGCTGGTCGCTTATTTTATTTTTTATTAACCGAAACAAATTCCATTCGCGACTCATACCAGTTTCAGTTTAGTTGCCATATTTTGTACATTTTTGCATGATGCCTAGTAGCACATCTTTGCTGGAGGCCGATGAGGGAGAGTCCGAGGTCCCACCGCCGCTAGTGCACGCTTTCGCCGGTATGGGCCTTGAGGAGCACCACTGCACCCAAAGCCAAACCACCGAACAGGCAGACGAGAGTATCTCATTCCCACACCACCATCAGCGCCCGTCGGTTTCTCATTTCAGCCTCCTTGATACGGTCCTCGACTTGAAGCCTTTGCCACTGCATCAGCCACCTTCGGGAGATGAAGCGAACAAAACGAAAGAAGAAGAGCTGGAAGAGGCAGCGGCCGATTCCCCGGGCTGCACCGGGAGTTCGTTGTTGGCGAAGGCCCACCGCCATCCACACCTCCATTCGGGGCCAAGTAGCTCCGTGTTGCCGTCTGCAATGGAGCCTCCGCATACCGATACGGTATTATTGTACAACGGAGAGGAGCGTGACGATGGCGGGGTCGCCGGCAGCGCCTTACCTCCGGCTAGCAGCATGGTGATGCTACCATCCGGCGTTTACGGCGATGCGGGTTACGAGGCCGAGCCTTCGCTTCTGACTCAGCGGAAGAGTATCAACACAACCGAGTGTGTGGCCGTGCCGAGCTCCGAGCACGTCGCCGAAATTGTGGGCAGGCAAGGTGAGCGTTTTTCTAAAAGAAATTAGCTAACTTGTGACCCAACGTCTAGCTTTTAAACGTGCGCGTGGACGGAATTGGGTCAAGTCGGGGTAAGTAAACACAATAAAATCATCACAGGTTCGAAAATTGAAATTCTCCCTTCTATTAAGCACCGTTTGTTTGACAGTTATCTCAATTTTTTGCTGTGAGGGCAGTCAGGAATCCCCTAGCCGTGCCTTGTGCTAAACCAGGGTTGTCTTTGTCTCGCAGTAGCACATAAAGAGCACTGTTGGTCACCATTGCTGTGCCACATCAGCTGGAGCCTCCAGATCAACTCCTTATGGTTAATTTTCTTCTCATTAGGTCAGCCGAACCCGTCCCCTTTAATAGACATCCATATCTGGGCTTTCACACAAAGTTTCCACGGGCTGGATGGAGCAGGGAGAGTGTTGTTATGTAGTGTTTCAGAGCAGTTGGGGGAGGGTGTTGACAACAACAGGAAATGGCTCTGGTAATGATGTTGGACTCTCGACCACTGCTAAAAGGAATATTTAATTCACAACATGACCAACTTGTAAATGGAATAAACGATTGAATGTTTGATTGCACTATGTTTGAAACAAAGAGGCACATTAAACCACCCTGTTGGTTACATGTTGGAAACAAAGAAATGGCAAAGTATACCACTTTTTAAAAAGTTGTCTGGAGGAAAGACAAGAGCAGCAGAAATGAATATAAAGGAGATAAAAAACACCAACAATTCATGAGGTTTTTTAATGCAGGGGCATTTCTGCGCTCGCCTTTTCTCAAATGACCAAAACTCAAGAAAAAAACATAACATTTGAGTTTTTGTAGTTGAAATAAAAAAAATCAAGTTAATTTAATTTTTAAATTTCCACTACTGTCAACCTTTTTTACTCAAAAGACCAAATGAGTTAAAACACACTTGTCAAGTGTTTTTTTTAAATACGGAACTTAAAAAAATATCATTTTGTACTCAAAACGGCATGTGTAGTGAAAAAATGATTCAAAGAGACATCAACTGCATGCTTTGATAATGCTAAAGGTCACACTTTATATTCAAGTGCTGCAATCTAAGATTAAATGCTAGCCAAATGGCTTCTGATCCACTTTATTTCTTCTCCAAACCCTTTATTTGGCCTTTTGACTTGGATAATTTTGGACCGCAGCTGTGTGAAGCTTTGTTTTCAGCACAAACAACAAGCCAATATGCACTTGCACTGTAGTTATGTTGCTTTTGTTTGCAAAATTCAGAGTATGAGTGTCATTAAAAATAGCTGGTCTGGATGAGTCCAACTGGTTATTAATAAATGTCTGTGTCACTAATGTGGCATCAGACATGCTTCAACCTTTTCTTGTTTCTTTTTTGAAATCTTCCCTCCACCAGGCTGTAAGATCAAGGCCCTTCGAGCCAAGACGAACACCTACATAAAGACGCCAGTGAGGGGGGAGCAGCCGGTCTTTGTCGTGACGGGACGTAAAGAAGACGTGGCCATGGCAAAGAGGGAGATCCTTTCTGCGGCTGATCACTTCTCCCTTATCAGAGCGTCTCGAAACAAAACTGGGCCTCTGTCTGCCGTGAACACTTTAGGGACCCCTGCTCTACCCGGACAGACGACTATTCAGGTTGGCAAGCTGCATGAATGAATCATGTTGTTATTCCTGGATGCTCTTTTACAGTGAATCACATTAAGGGCTGTTGTTATGGCAACTGCACAGTTCTACACTGTCATCAAAGCATTTTATTTCAAAAGGAAGGTTTGTGTAAGTGTTATTTCCACCCCAACAGGTGCGGGTGCCTTATCGTGTTGTTGGATTGGTTGTGGGTCCCAAAGGTGAGTCTTTTTGTCTATTTTGAACTGATGATGAGACTTTTGGGGCTGATTTTTACTTTTTTTTTTTTGTTTGTTTTGGGTTTTTTCTCTCCTCATTTTTAGACTTAAAGGTTTTACAAAGATCTGGATGGAGTTAGACAGGAGTTTAGTCTTGAGCTCTTTAGCCATGTGAGTGACCAGAACAGCCGGCAGTTAGAAGATGTAATTATTGCACAGCTGCAGTTCTTTAGTCAGATTTTATTATTGTTGTTCTGTTACAGGAAATGTAGATGGCTGTGAATTTTTGTGCTTTTGCCTGTGATCTGCAGATCTTTTTTTTTCCTAATGTAATCATTTGGCATGTTCCTAAATCGTAATTTGTAAGAATGTAATTGGCGATATTGGCATTAGCATCCATGTGGGGTTTTCCATGTATATTAGCATTGTGCTAACCACTCGCTGCCAGTCAAATTGCAGCTTTTGCAATTAGAAAATCTCCTTTTGTCACATCGCAATTTAATTGCATATGCAATGAATCGTTCAGCCTTACCACCTACTGTGGCAGAGTGGAATGCACTTCATTCAAAAATTGAAGTTTTCTGACTTGCATGTAAACGAGGATGCTGGCTCTCGGCTTATTGCTGTAGATCAACTCAGAAGCACATTTTCTTCCCTAATAGACAATAAACTTTGTAAATTCTGATAATTCACTCAAAGAAGCCATCTCACTTCTGGAGTACGCTGATTTTCAGCATGTTCAGGGGATAGAAGTGAAGATGCTGGATACTGAAAGGTGATGTTGTTTGAAATGATCCATTTTTTGTTTAAGACGTGTCCTTTATCACCATCTAGGGGCAACTATCAAACGTATTCAGCAGCAGACCCACACCTACATTGTGACGCCAAGTCGTGACAAAGAGCCGGTGTTTGAGGTCACGGGGATGCCAGAGAATGTGGACCGAGCCAGGGAGGAAATAGAGGCACACATCGCCCTCCGCACGGGGTCCTGCGGGGGCGTTGAAGCCCCCGGCGTGGACAACAGCGATTTTCAGTTCAACGGGACGGATGTCAGCTTTGAGACTGCAGCGGGCCACGCCGCTCTGGGGGAGGCTGGATGGCTCCATGGTGGTGCCTCGTCACCAAGCAGCGGAAACTTGCTGCCCATGAGCGTCAGTGGCACTCAGCGGGTTAATAGCAATACAAGCGGCGCTGTCAAGATGTCTTCCACCTACCGCAACGACAGTTCCAGCTCTCTGGGCAGCGGCTCCAGCTCGGCCGACTCTTTCTACGGCGGGGGCAATGGGAACCAGATGGCAGATTTCAGCCCGACCTTTCAGTTTAACGCCAATGCTAATAACAACAACAACAACAACAGTAGTAGTGGTGGTGGCAGCACAAGCTTCTGGTTTGGCGAGAATCTTCTTGGAGTGGGTTCTGAAGAGATCTTCAGCATGGGAGGTGGTGGAGGCTTCTCGGGATTTGAGCCTTTAACCATTTCCACTGCCCCAACCCTGCATTCTGCTGCACAAACGCACATCTGGAGCCCCTTCGTGGACAACCCGTCTCTACAGGCCCTTGATTCATTACAGTCTCAGGTATGTCAGCACAAGTCCAAAGACATGAAAAATGTCAGTTTGTGGTTGTCTTATATCTTCTGGTTGTGATGTCTACAGACCAGTCTGCCTGGTACCCCTCGCCTGTCCCCGACCTTCTCAGGGACCGAGGCCTTGGAGCACCCTCAGGCCCAGCGTGTTCACCGAAGGCCTTTTGGGTCAGCTGGAACTCCCGACGCCCACAGAATCCCCTCATACAGCTCCGCCTTCTCGTCCTCCAGCGAAAGCACCACCTCCTCCTCTTCGTCCTCCTCTCCACCGGAATCCTCTTTCTCCTACCGACCGGCGCTGGGGTCATCAGGAAGAGGCCCGGAGGTGTGCGTCAAGTGTATGAATAGCCAGGTGATCGCTGCCTTGGTTCCTTGCGGCCATAACCTTTTCTGTCTCGATTGTGCCACTCAGATATGCCAGGGCCCAGAGGCCGTGTGCCCCGTGTGCCTGTCCCGGGTCACACAGGCCATTCAGCTCCGCAATATGTAACTCCAACCACCATCCCCCCCCCCCAATCAATGGCCAGGAGTCGGCCTCACCAACAAATCTGGCTCATCACATGTTTGGAGCTTACAAAACACCCCCACATGTGTTTCTGTTTGTCCTGACCCCAGCTTTTTCTGAGCTGGTGTTAAGTCGAAGGTGCAGAAGGAGTAGGTGACGTGAAATGGGAGTGGTTTTGATTTGGGGCATGGGCTCAGCTCGTTCACGTGCCTGCCGTTGTCTTCATGGTCAATCGATCAACGGGAGGGTTAGAAGCCCTCTATGTAGCATTGGGAGGGATGGAATGGGATTTTCTTTCTTTCTTTTAGTTGTCCCATATGTTTACATTCAACTTTATCAGAATAACATAGTTGGCCTTTAGCTCAACAATCTTTTTCAACTTCTCAAAATTTGATACTGCAGGAAATAAAACGCAAGCATGCTCATTTAAAAATAAATCCCACATTTGGCTCCGTTACAATAAATCTACTGTTTTATTAGATTTGGTTGCAGCAGGAAGCTAAAGGTCATTACTGGAATTCACCTTTTTAAAAAGATGTGATGTTATACTTTCTTCAGGTTATAATCCCTTTTTCTGTTTTTAGAGCATGCTTGCGTTGAAGACGTCAGTATGAAAACACTCCCAAGGAGGTTTATTTTCCGTACACTAAATTGGTCAAAGTTGCCACACTCCATTGTTGATTCGGATGTCTCTTCTTTCCCCGTCACTCCAACCCAAAAAGTTACTTCTTTTGTTATTATTCCTTTAGACCACTAGGATGTTTCTCTTCTTCAGTATGTGGGAGTTTTCCATTTGTACTTCTAACAGTTTACGGTGAACTGGTGCCTAATTCTGTTGAGTAAACAAAACAAACAACTTGCTTTGTGGGCACAAATTGTCCTCAGACTTGTGGCCTTTTTCCAAAGTCCACTATAAACCTAACACTATCTTACAAATCTGGGAAGAAAAAACAGCGTAACAGACGGAAGTGCTAATGCATTAGCTTGGTCTGCTAACGGCATCTTTAATGGATCAAAGAGGAGATGAGGAGGGTGTTTTACTTCGGCTCCTCGTTCGGCCTCTCTGAAGTGTTTTCTACTGCTTTTATATTTTGTCCTTGCTTTTAATTTAATTGCTACTTTTTGTTTACATATTTGTACGGGAAGCCATGTGCCGGTTTTCAGCTAGGAAGCTATGCACGTCTTGTACTTTTGTAACATTCCTCCGTGGTATTGTAGTCACTTTTTGTGTAGAAGCGACTTGATGTTCTCGAACATCACCTGGGAGCAAAATGCGGTTGATTTTCTCGGCTGTGGTTTGGAACAAATCCCAGTGGAGAACAAAGCGGCTGCTTTTCATCTTCATTTGATTTCAAAAGCCATCTCTGTAACGTTCTTCATCTACTCACTTGAATGACTCACTCGGGCTGCTATAGATCGGTCCTGTATAATGTTTAGGGTGTGAGATGAAGAGATGGAAGACCATTTTGTTGCTTTAACCCCACCCCCCACCCCACCCTTGTCAGCCCGGCCTATGCAAAAATCATCTCAGTATTATACCCTCACCTGGAAGCCGTGGGTAGATTTCGTAACCCCTGCATCGTTTAGTTGTTTGGGCGGTACTCACTCGTTTGACCTTTCTGTGCTCTAAGCACAACTTCCCCTGTGTTTTCTTAAACAACGGGGCTGAGCACATCTTTACTTTCCTCTTGTACATGCCTTTGTTTTATTTATTTTTTGTTCGTTTCATCTGAAAAGGTACAAATTGTTGGAAATCATCTCAATTCTTAGCTTTAAACTCCCGTCTCTGGACGTTTCCTGGATCACATGAACTCTCTGACACTTTGGGATGGGAATGCAGCTGGAATGATTTCACCGTGGAATCCCGACACTAAACATCAATAATACTGTTTGCTTTTCAGTTCTGGACATTTGGACTGCAGCACCCCCCCCCCCCCACACACACACACACACACTACCTGGAAACCTTTTTTGGGGGGGGGGGGGGGGGTAGGTGTCTTTTTCACATCCTCTGCTCCTCCCCCGTTTTTTCTAATATGGGTGATTGAGCTTCTCACAGGAAAATCGAGTCCCGAACATGCAAAAAGAACAACCCCAAACTCGTTTGCTCCCGTCTCCTCTCGTCTTCTATCCGTCCCTCGTTTTGCTTTAAAAGTTGAAAAATTAACATTTTCTCTCTCTGGGGGAATGCAATACATAATCGGCCCTCAATAGTTTATTGATATAAGTCTGACATTTTTGTGTATGTATTATACGATATTACTGTTAATGACTGATAAATACACAGAACTTATTTTTTATTTTGTTACATTTCGTATATACATAAATCTATATCAAAATGTTTACAATAATATTTTTAATTTTTACTTCTTTTATTTTTTTCCTGAGTGATTAATTAATGAGGAGCTGAAAATCCAGAGAGGTTGCAGGAGGGTTTCAGTGCTATCTGCTTGTAGTCTAGTTATTAGTTTACAGTATTGACGAAGATAATAGTATTGATCGCTGCCGTTAAATCTAGTTGAAAAGTGGAATGTGCATCACGAGCATGTCTTCATCATTTACCGCCATTGTGAAACAACACTGCAACTGTAAAAAGGCCAAGGATTCAAGCTGCCTGTCATGTCTGTACAACACCAAAATTTAGAACGGTGTACTATTGAAATGTATCTTCTCTTATCTCTATATATAAATACATATTGTTAAAAGCTGTACCAACAGTTGAGAGTATTTGCTAATTTTACTACACTTTTGTTATGTATATGTGTAGGAGGAGTCTTAAGGCATATAAATTCTTCAAATTAAGTCAGGAGTTTAAAAGCAGACTATATTTTATAATGGCCTTTTAAGTTATTGCGGCCAAAGCACTGATATTATATATTTGCTGTAAAGAGAATTTTAAGAGTTTTATTTTTCTGATATTAAAGTTACGTAATAAAGACGGTTTCATTTAAAGCCACGTTGGATCTCTGTCGTTATTTTATTTTGAAAACTTGTGCTTCCATCTTTTGGTCAGACAGCTTTGTCCTCACTAGTGTCCAGCAGCCATCAGATGAGAAGGGGAACACCCTGGACTGTTGGTCTCTGATCAGCTTGACATGCATGTCCTTGTTTTGTGGGAGGAAACCCACACATGTAAACTGCAGTTTATAAAGGCGACAGCTGGTAATCAAACCTGCAACCTTCACGCTGAGAGGTAATCGTGTCGCCATGCAGCCTTAAAATTGTTTCCTTTTTAGAAAAAAATGCAAAACACGTTTCCACTATTTGGGCTCAATTTTAAGGTGTTCAAGCACATGGATGTCCAGTGGAGGAGCTAAATTTACTGAACAAGCTACGTTATGAATGCAGACACAGTCACCCCCCCCCCCCCCCCCCTCGGGTGTCTTCCCCGAGACGCTTCTGCCAGGACAGGAAACTCGTAATGGTCCAAACATCTTTAGTTGTCTGTGATTTCAAATGGAGTTTTTCCGGTAGCTTGTCCTAAAGTGGAAGTGGTAGCAGCTGGCTGTTTCTCCTTCTCCATCATTGAGCGAGGAATCTGTCACACCAGGGGTGTTGTGTTGTAAATGAATGGGGGATGTAGGGAAGTGTGGAAGATTGAAAGCCGGACAGTCCAATGGTTGCGTTTGGTTTGAAGCGTACTTTGGCGGAAGTTTTTAGATGTGTGAGAACCAAACCATGTTAGAACGTTAGAGGCATGGGAAAATGGTTTAAGCTAATTTGTTTTCCAAACTTGCCATAGCAGTTTTAAGTAAACAAGGGGTCAAATTCTATGTTTTAAGCTGAAGGTGGCGCAATACTGTGGTATTTAGGCAGAAATTTTTATTTTTAAAGAAAATGCACCAAAATGCTAAAATAATGAATACACACATTTAAAACACTATTAGACACTCATTTATACAGTTCATCAGCAAAAAAAAGTTAATTTAGACATTACTTGCTCTTTAAAGTCAGATTTTTTGGTTTTATAAAATGCCAGTTAGTTCTTTTTTTTTGCCAAGCAGACTAAAATTTTTACTTTAATACAATTCTCCTAATATTAGAAAGCAAGGCCTCCATTTTAACAGGAAGAAAACCAAATCCAGATTTGTAATGGACGACCTTTACTGTCTGGGTGGATGGTACTCTGGAGGACAGACATAGAAGGGTTGGACCTTTTCTCCTTTGTAGAAGATAAACAGGAAAGAAAGTTAATGGCAGCAATAACATGGAGTTTGGTGTACATTAGAGAACATCCTTGGATCTCAGGAAAACATAATCTAACCATTGAGAACAAAACAGTTCATTGAAAAATCCATTAGGATCCTGGCTGGATGGCATCAGACATCAGGAAAAGTCTGTCAGACAAAACTAAAAAAACGTTCAGGGTTCCATATTACCAAGAAAATTGAATGGTAGTCTATGGACTGATGAGTTATTTTCTGATCCCGTTTGACACGTGCCATGGATTTGACGTGTGATTGTGAATTTTAAGGATGCTTACTTTTGACCGGCAGCAAAAGTTACTTTAGGCATTGTGTGAAAAGGCGTAGTGGACTCCCAACTGCTCGTGTAGCCAAACTTACATCATCAAACCACTTTTCTTACAGTAAACACAGAAAATGGGTGTGGATGTCTTTTAGTGTAAAGAGCTGAGAAGACTCCTTCCCTTTCGGTTGGCTCATGGGTCCTCTGGCCTAAAACATGTACATAAAATTGATGTTATTTTCTGGTCTGCTTGGCCTTCCATACCTGATGAACTTTAAGTGAGAAACAATTAATTGGAACTTTCAACTGCGTCGAACGTAATTTGAGATTTATTTGCTTGTCAAAATTCATGATTAAAAAAGGCTAAAAAATCATTTGTCACATATATGACATCACCGCTTCTCCCCCAGCGTAGCAAACGCCTCATAGTCAGATTTAGTGGGTTTTCTCTACGTTTAATGCTCCATCTTTAATCCTGGAAGAAAGACGTGAAGCTTGCTAAACTGCCCTTTTCATTCTTTTCCTTGTGGTTTGATGATGTAAATTCGGTGAGGCAGTTGGAACCCTTTACAACTTTTCACAGAAAACCTAAAATAACTTTTCTCGTCTCGTCTCGTCTTCCTCCGCTTATCCGGGTCCGGGTCGCGGGGGCAGCATCCCAACTAGGGAGCTCCAGGCCGTCCTCTCCCCGGCCACCTCCACCAGCTCCTCCGGCAGGACCCCAAGGCGTTCCCGGACCAGATTGGAGATGTAACCTCTCCAACGTGTCCTGGGTCGACCCGGGGGCCTTCTGCTGGCAGGACATACCCGAAACACCTCCCCGGGGAGGCGTCCAGGAGGCATCCTGACCAGATGCCCAAACCACCTCAACTGGCTCCTTTCGATCCGGAGGAGCAGCGGTTCTACTCCGAGTCCCTCCCGAATGTCCGAGCTCCTCACCCTATCTCTAAGGCTGAGCCCGGCCACCCTACGGAGGAAACTCATTTCGGCCGCTTGTATCCGCGATCTCGTTCTTTCGGTCATTACCCAAAGCTCATGACCATAGGTGAGGATTGGGACGTAGATCGACCGGTAAATCGAGAGCCTGGCTTTCTGGCTCAGCTCCCTCTTCCCCACGACAGATCGGCTCAGCGTCCGCATCACTGCAGACGCCGAACCAATCCGCCTGTCGATCTCCCGATCCCTCCTACCCTCACTCGTGAACAAGACCCCGAGATACTTAAATTCCTCCACTTGAGGTAGGACCTCTCCCCCGACCCCGACCAGCAAAATAACTTTTGCTGCCTGTAAAATAAGCATCAAAATGTGTTTCTCTATTTCACGGACAATCATTTAATCATGTTAAATCCATGGCACGTATCAAACAAGATACGAAAATAACAGTGCTCCGTAGACTCCCACTGATTTTGACTCCATTGAACACAAAAATTAAACATGCAGCTTCGTAGAGCCCACCTTTAAAAGTTTATTTTCAGACCTGAAACGTTTAGGAAAAGTCCAATCTGAAAATAATCCACATAAAATACAGCAAATTTCTTATTTAAAAGCAGACTCCATTAGGAATGAAACAGACAACTTGGTTAATATCCATATTTAATTGTAGACACATGAGAAAAACAGCTAAAATTTATATCTGCAATCTGTCATAGTAGTCAACACAAACTATCTTCAGGCTTCTATAACTACGTCATAAAAAAACACCAGTCCACCTTAAAAGCACAGCAGAGTATAATACTTTTGCTTTCTGCAGCTTGTTTTCATTTATTCTCATTAACAGCTTTTTAAACATGTTTCCTGTCATTCAGATGAATGAACAAGAGAAGACACCTTTAAAAGTGACAAACATCCCAAAAAGCAGGTCTCATATTACAGTTCATCACAGCTGAGGCGAGTAAAAGGGAAAATTACTGTTTGGGTTTTACTTTATTTGTTAGAAAAAAATAAAATCCTCATCTAGAGATTATCAGAACACAGCGAGTGTTGGGGAAAAAAAAAAAAACTAAATTATGGTAATAAAAGTACACGAGGCGTGTAGACTATGGAGAAACGTCTTTAAAATCAATAAGAAAACGGAATCACACGCAGAGATGAGAAAGACGGGTATTTTAGTTTGCTGCTGAAATCTGCTGTGGTTCTAATAAACACCGACAGGCAGTTTGTAATAATAGACGAGCTTTAACTGTTGCGTTTCTCATTAAACAGCAACACACTAATACTGCATACAGCAGGCTCTGGTTTCTATAGTTTTCCCTGTTTGATGCAGAATAACAAATTTGATCTTTTTATAAAAAACTGGAAGGATTAAAGGGAGTTTTGAACATATTATTCATGCTAACACTGACATACATGCTTTTAAAAACATTTACATGGATTATGAGGAAAAAGTGAAAACCACAAATGAAAAAACTACAACTCAGATCAAACAAGAAAAATTCCAAAATGTTTGTGAATACTTGGTGACCGCCTTAGTGTTACAGTACAACTATCAGCTCCTCCTGACAAACCTCAGACCCACGCGGTGCCGACTCGAACTCAGACAAAAGTAAAGTGCTACAAATATACAAATCAATTAATCAAAGTTACAAAAATAAATGCGTTAGAACTGACGTGTGATGACTAACATTCTCCTTTTTGTCAGTTAAGTAAATAGAAAACAGAATCTGGGGCAAACTGGGTCCAGTTTTACATTCTCTAAACTTATCAGGTGTTGGGAAATACTCAACATGTCCAAATTAGTTATTGTGATGGAAGGTGATGATCAGAGTTAAATCAGTAACCACACACATGTGCACACACACCACTTCAAATACACAAGTGAGACACCGCATTAGTGCAGAGATGACATGTAAAGTTGGACGTTACTGTTTGCCACTGCAACCAGGAGTTCTGCTCTTTGCTACTGCAGGAAAACCAAGAATTCCCAGACCTGAAAAGTATCTTTTAAAAATCCTAACTCGTAGTTTGGCCTGGACAAGTCCAGACTTGTTTCAGTTCAGCAGAGGAGACTCAGCTGCTGTTGTGGTTGGTTTGTTTTGTGGATTTCTTTTTGCAGACGCTTGTGAGTGTCTGGCATGTTCCGATCCGGAGGCGGAGCGGCAGTGATCGGCACGGTGTTGGTACGGATCCACAAGTTCAGAGAGCTGGTTTCTCGGCAGCTAGCTGGACAAACTGGTAATTCTGGGTGTCTTCAAAGGCGGTGCTGCAGCATCGCGGTTCTCCGAGTTCATGTTCCAGTTTCACAGGATCTGGTCCTCTGTGTGTTCAATGCTTCTTATTTGAATTAACAGTCACATCTTCTTGTGTTGTAAAATCAAAGCCGTCTATTAAAATAAAAACTTCATTTTTCATGCATGGCTTCAGCTCATGTTGCTGTCACAAGCAAACGCTGAAGCCAAAATGCACGATATGCCTCAAAAACCTGACGGTGTTTCTCATCTGCCACAGCTTCACCTTCATTCACTTCTCCATCAACGAGGAAGACCTAGTCCAGAGGTTGAGGGTCTGCTATAGGCATCGTGTGAAGAACCTCATCCAGTAACTGCAGAGCTCTGTGCAGGTGGATTTCAATCCAGCAAGGGGTTTCCTTAATGCTCTGGCGGGGGTAGTCAGGCCCCCAGCCTTTAACAAAACTCATCCTGAGAATGCACAGCCTCCGGAGGTCGTCTACGCCGATTCCAGCTGCTGCTGACAGACCTTAGAGAAGAAGAAGAAGAAAATATCATTTCTATAGCGCCTCTCAAGATAAAAATAATGAGGCGCTTCACAAAAACAAAAAATGTAAAAAAGAATTTAGAAAATGTTTAAAAATATAAGATAAGATAAGATAAGAACAACTTTATTTATCCCGAGGGAAATTCTTGTGTCATGTACATGCTCAAAGCAGTAGGAGAGACAAAGGAACAGGTGAAATAGAAATATGATATACAATATATACAGTAAAAAATTATCTACAGTAGTATCCTGTAGGATAGTGCAAAACAAACAATCGCATATCTCAACAAATAAATGCATGACTGCATCCTTGTGAATAAGTAATTAAGCTGTCAGTGCAGGCAATTCACAAAAGTGATTAAACTATTGTGTAATAGAATAAGGGTCTGTAGCAACATATGATATGATGGGGGGGATAAAAACATATTTACAATCAGAACTCTGGTAATATTGCACAGTCTGGGAGGGAACAGAATAACCTAGGTAAAGGTATTAGGAGAATCACCTACAGGGTGAGGAAGAGTTAAACAACCCTATTGCCAATGTTTATGTTTAAAATGAGCAAAAATAGACAATTGTGATTAAAAAAATGTTAAGAAAGAGAGAGTGAATAGGAAAGAGGGAAATCAGTGGATCCTGAGGAAGGTGGAATAGGTGGGGAGAACAGAATAAAGAGAGAGTGGTGAAGAAGGTCATACAAAAGCCAGCTTGAACAAGTGAGTCTTCAGCTGCTTTTTAAAGGAGACCACTGAGTCCACTGATCTCAGGCTCAGGGGGAGAGAGTTCCAGAGTCTGGGGGCCACAGCAGCAAATGATCTGTCACCTTTGGTCTTTAGCCTGGTGCTGCACAACCAGTAGGCTTTGATCACTGGACCTCAGGGACCTGCTGGGGGTGTAGGGACTGAGAAGATCACCAATGTAAGATGGTGCTTGTCCATGTAAGGCCCTATAGACCAGAACCAGGATCTTGAAATGAACCCTGAAGTTGACTGGCAGCCAATGAAGCTGGAGGAGAAGCGGGGTGATGTGGGGGTGTTTGGAGGACTTGGTCAGAAGCCGAACACAGGCATTCTGAACCACCTGTAGACGGTTCAGGGAGGTTCTGCTCAGACACGTGAAAAGAGAGTTACAGTAGTCTAAGCGTGAGGAGATGAAGGTGTGGATAACTGTCTCAAGTTCAGAGTGGGACAGAATGGGACTCAGCTTAGCAATGTTCCTGAGATGGAAGAAGGAAGAGCGAACAAGAGAACTGACATGAGGATCCAGGGTGAGAGCTGGGTCAAAGGTCACGCCAAGATTCCTGACGGAAGGTTTGGTGTGAGAAGCAAGCTGACCAAGAGAGTCTCTGACTTTGGGAACCAGCTTGTCTGGGGCACAGATGAGGATCTCAGTCTTATCTTCATTCAGCTGTAGAAAGCTCCCAGCCATCCAGGTTTTGATAGAGTCTAAGCAGGTGTGTAACAGCTGCAGCTTAGACATCTCATGGGGCTTAAATGAGATGTAAAGTTGGATGTCATCTGCATAAATATGGTAGGAGATTCATTTGAAGGAGCTCAGGATGTGCTGAAGAGGAAGCGGAGGAGGAAGAGCAGAGGCACCAGCACAGAACCTTGTGGGACACCATGGGTAAGAAAGGTGGTGGAGGACCTAAACTTGGAGACGGCCACAGAAAAGGAGCGCTCAGAAGGATAAGAGGAGAACCACTCCAGAGCAGTTCCTGATAGGCCTACCCAGTCTCTCAGCCTCTCCAGTAGCAGTTGATGGTCAACAGTGTCAAAGACTGCAGTCAGGTCCAGCAGGACCAGAAAAGAACAGTCCCCTGCATCACTGTGAGTAAGAAGGTCATTAGAGACCCTAAGAAGAGCTGTTTCAGTAGAATGAGCTCTACAAAAACCTGACTGGAAGCTATCATAGATGTTATGTTCATCAAGAGCAGCTGTGAGTTGTTTAGCCACAACCTTTTCCAAGATCTTGGAGATGAACAGAAGTTTAGAGATGGGTCTGAAGCTGCAATGGAGAGAGGGGTCGAGACTCGTTTTTTTTAAGAAGCGGGTGGATTACAGAGTAGAGGGCAGGGGAACAATCAGGGAATGCATTTCGAAGGGAAAAAAACCTTAAAGTGTAAAAATGTAGTTTCTGAGTCTTACTGATAGCTGGAGCTATCCCTCCTACCGATCCAGGTCCAGGTATGTTCCCCGCCACTGCAGCTGCTTGTGCGGCGGCTGCAGCCTGAGCCGTGGCAGCCTGCTGCTGCATCTGTCTGTGGCACTGACGGAGGTCAAACACCTGCAGGGACACAGAACGACCAATAGGTTTTTAGAAATTCATTTATACAGCCAACTGTTCTAGAGCGTGGCCTTACCTTGATGTAAGCGCTGGGGTAGATTTTGTGAACAGCATCTCCCGGCGCTCGACCCGCTTCTCTGTCCAGGTAGTAGCTCTGAACGAACACGGCGTGGTCACTCAGGCACCGCACCCACACGTCTCCTTCGCCTTTACACTCCAGCTGCACCCCTTTACCAATGTGAAGTCTGAGAAATGAACAAAAAGAGCAAAAGAAACATGAGGCAACCAAACAACGTTTCACTTTTCCACCGGTCCTTCTAGTAGAAGGTAGGGAGGATGCGTGTGGATGCTTGTGATGAAGTGTTGGAGCAGAGAGGGTGTAACCTTCTGTTAATCTGTTGCATTCAGGGTATCTGCAGGTTTAAGGGCGCCAAATTTAAGACTTTTTAAGACCTTTTTTAAGGCCACTTTGACCAAATTTAAGCTATTTTTTTTTATTAAATTTAAGCTATAATTTCCATCCTCACTTCCTCCATCGCTGTGTGGTACGCTGGAGCCACAGTGAGGGACAAAAATAGACTGCAGCGCATTGTGCGCTCCGCTGAGAAGGTGATTGGCTGCAGCCTTCCATCTCTCCAGGACCTGTACGTCTCCAGAACTCGGGGGCGTGCAGGTCGGATAGCAGCTGACCCTTCTCACCCGAGTCACAGACTTTTTGAGCCGATTCCCTCAGGCAGGAGGTTACGGTCCATCCGGACCAGAACCTCCCGCCATAAGAACAGCTTCTTTCCATCTGCCGTTAGACTTGTGAACAGCTTATAAACACACAACCATGCTCGTCTTCGGTACTTGACATAACGTCACGTTACCGGCCATATTACCATTACCTGCCTTTTTTTATAGCAAAGTTTTATGCTAGTTTATTATATTTTATTCTACTTTATTCTATTTTTAATTATATTATTCATGTTATATGTAGCATGTTAGTACCGAAGCAAGTTCCTAGTTTGTGAATTGTTTGTTCACTGACAATGGCAATAAACCTTTTTCTGATTCTGATTCTATTGCCTGGAACCGGTGCTAACCACGTCGCGAACGTGGGATTAGCCATCCAGTTACCATTAAACTTGCACTTCCCCATGGCGCAAGCTCCCACTAGCTTAACCAGCTAATGTGCTCATCTAAAAATTGCCCCCTTTCACTGAATGTGTACGGTTCCGCTTACGCCAACATCATACACAAAAAATGCTGAACACTAACTAGAAATTCACAAAAATTTTATAGAAATAAAAGAATCTCGTTTATTGGGTCTTCGGTAATTTAAGACCTTTGGAAACTGTATTTAAGGATTATTTGCCATTTTAAAGGATTTTTAAGGCCTTAAATTTGGAAAAGCAAATTTAAAACTTTTTAAGACTTTTTAAGGACCCGCGGACACCCTGTGCATTATTCAGTAGGGTTGTGGATGATTATATTCATGTCTTAGAATGAAATTTCCCTAAAACAAAACGGAAGTTATTGTTTTATTGGCCTTCCAGTTTTATCACAACTGCTGTTGCTTCTAAGCATCTGTAAAACCCAAAGCAGCAGAACGGGAGCGCGATCCAGCTGCACACGCTTGAAACAGCTGTCACAAGCTCCAGTGGAAGTTAACTGTGAGATGACGGGAAGACAAAAGGCGTAATCGACCTAATTCTAAAAGGTGTTTACAGAGCGATTTACGCAGGCTCTCTACCAGATGCATGAAGCCAGAACTCTCTGCGACACTTTCACTCGTTGTATTTAGCTCCATCTCAAAAGGTACAACTTTATCGCGGATCACAGCTCCGTCACGTTCTCACACTGGTTCATTTTAAAACATATTTTTACCTAGGCCATGGAGGTGTCACAGGTAAAGACATCTTTTTTAAATAGTTAAGCAACAGGAAATCTACATTTGTCTTTTATTTTGAAATTTGACAAATGCTTTACGTTGCTCCTGCCTTATTTCCTGTCTGGGACGAAATTAACTGCTGAGCTTCAAATGTTCCGGAAGCATTGAGCATTAAAAAATAGAGCCGAACTGTAAATTTAGCAGAGCGCTGCCGAAAGTTTGGTGGACAACAACCAGCTGACTAAAACGGCAGCAATTAGCTGCATTTTACGCTTCGTAAATGTTATGCGCCGCCTATGAAACACGTAAAAAAAAAAATGTGGTGAGGAAGCAGATTTATAAACTCATTATTTTAGAGGTAGTTGGGTGTCTTACCTCGCTCTCTCAATAGCCTCGGTGCGATGCACGTTACTGAGCTGGCCCAAACAGAAGCGGTCTCCTCCTGATGGGTCAACATAACCGTCCACCGTTACAACGGGGCAAGAAGACGGCACTTTAAAAGTCTCCCCCACCTGAACGTCCATCTCGAAATAAGCAATAGAGCACCAGTAGTCAGGAGCTGAAACAGACGGCAGACGTTGTTTTTAGAAAAGCCACAACTGTATTTCATTTTCTATGATCCCGAATCAGGCGAGGTAAGTTCTCACCTGGGTGATTTGATATAGGAGGCTGAAAAGGAAGCTCGTTGTGCACTGGCCCTGAGAGAAAAGAAACAAAGTAATGTCAGTAAAATTATACTTAGCAAAGGAAAAAAGGGTGATTTTTCTGTCGTAATCAAAGTTTACAGTAGTGTGTTGGATGTGGCATCGGAGGGTGGTGCTGAAGGTGACCATTGGTGTGGTGGGGTATGTTTGGAGGGAACCCACTGTTCCTGGACCAGTTAGAGCTGGCACCTGACAAGTTCAGAAATAAAGAGATAAAGAAAACCTTCATATACTTCGCAGTTTACTTTGAAATGACACATTTGAAAATAATCTAATTCAGAATGAATCTTACTGCTGGATGCTGCAGCTATAGGAGGGAAAGATGATGCTGAGGCGGAGGTGGAGGCCTCAGTAGGCGGCAGCATGCTTGGGGCTGGAAATGGTTCTGCTGGGGCTGGACAACTACTGGACGGGGGGTGCTGGATGGTCTGGAGAGAGTGGCCACCATCGACAGAGGGCAAACTCTGTGGTCCGTCAAAGTCATACTCATCCTTGATAATCTGTGCCGAGTTGGGTCCAGAACCAGTCAGAGTCAGTCCTGATAGATCTGTGGATTAAAACACATCAGTCATTGCTTCAACAGCATCCAACGTGACAAAGACTCAAGGCTCAATTGGTTTGATGCTAAAAAACATGAAATTTCCTCTTTTTATAAAAACTGTCTGCATTATAAAAAGAAACACTGAAATGACGCGATTATTCTATTTTGGTTGCACTAAAACCCAAATGAACACCTACATCTCTGTGTTACTCACCTATTCCAGGAGACACCACTCTTTCATAGTGATAGGGATTAACACACACACTGTCACACTTCAGATCAAAGGCAAACTGACAGTATTTCACATGCTTCAGTTCATTCTTGTGCAGATCAGGCCACCGCCACAGTCGGGCATAGATGACGTGAGGAAAACCTTTACGACCTGCCACCTGGGAATGATTCGGGAAAACAGGAAGAATTGATTGTCTTTTTCACTAATCCTCACAGCTGAGCTCAAAGGAGACCGATTATGTCCGTAACCCCTGATGAACACGCAGACACAATCACAAAATAATTGGTGCAGTCATCACCTGCAGACGTCCATCCAGGGTCCTCTGGATGGTTACACACTTGCTGGGGTGGGCACCATTGGTGGTGATAGCTGTGATGAGTGAATCAAGCTCATCTTTCTTCTCCTTCAGTTTCTTCACCAGACTTTCGATGGCCCGTTTGGCAAACGTCTCACTCTCACCTCCCTGCCTGTGACACATCAGGCTGTGGACGATGCTCAGGCAGGCATCGTTACTGGTAGGTGTGCTGGCAATGGACATGTTTGTTTTTGACTCAGTCTTTGACAAGTTCTGGGAAAATATTTGCCAGATGTTGAGTTTCACATCATCCTCAGGAAGCTGGAGAAGAAACAGTCTTCAAAATGAAGCTTGAGAAGATCTGAAAGCAGGAAAGTTTAAAGTAAAACAAACAAACAAAAAATCATCTATAAGGTGTTTTGGTGAGGATAGTAGAAATAGCTACTTAGTAATACAACATAATTATTCATGAGCACAACAAAGGAGATCCGTTGGGATCAAATGACCTTATTGCGTCTAAAACATGTAAAAATAGTCTAAATGAACAATTGGCAATGCAGCGAAACCTAATCTATGAATAATTACATATTTCTTACTGTTGTGTGGATGACAGAAGACGAGACAAACTGCAGCATTGTAACTATTTATACATGTAACAATACAAATACGGGTTCACCAACACAATGACTGACTAAGCAGGATTATGTAAACAAAATTAAAACTTATTTGACATTTTAAGTGTACTCTTCCACGGTAAACAAGATGCGTCTGTATAGAGCTGATTCGCTGGGTAGCGGCGCCAGTCTGGCTGCCGTTTGTTTGGGGGAGGTGCAAAAAGTTACTGCAAGTGGCAACCCCTACCCGGAAGTGAAGATGTTGTGATTTCAAAATAAAGCAACAAACAGTAGACAGCCTACTTAATACGATGTCAAATTGCGTGCATCTGGTAAACAACAAACTATATGTTTAAGAAAATATACCAGTCGTTTTGGTCATTTTAACGTTGCCTATAAATACTTCAAGCTACAACAATATAATTTTATTTTGAAAGGTATGGCAGGAAGAACAATTGTATTGAAACTATCTCACTAAAAGTTTACCTGCTACAAAAACATCAGCTAGCGCGTATGATTGTTGATAGCATCCCCGGGTAACATAGCTCTGAAGAGGCCAGTTTTCCAACAATAGACGTCTCCTACTGACTTCCTTCACAGCTAGCAGCTAGATAAAGTATCGCCATTCATTTAAACATTGCTGGTAACCGCCTCTTCAACAGTTTAACCACACAAAGCGATAACATCTCTGTTAAGAGCTTTGTTACACTACCTGGAGTTAGCTGCTGGTGGCTAACAGGTGATAACTCCCGAGTTGCCGTTCCAGTAGTGAGACTTAAATCCTGTGTACACCCTGATTTTTCCCAATTACTCCACCGACTGTTTACGAAAACACGGGGCTCTCCATTCGACGCAAGTTCGACTTTAAGATCCTCTTAACCCTAAAAAGAATCAAGTCAGAGTCAAATCACAGATTTTGCATTTACTGCCACTTGCTTCACTTCTCAAACCTTCTAGGTCAATGGCGCGTTGCGCATGCGTATAACAAGCAACACAGGGCTGAAAACAGTTCATATTTATGTTTGTAGAAGTTTTTGCCCCAAACACAAATAAATGTCATTATTGTTGAACACGAAGCAGGTTCTATTGTCCAGGTTCTTCTCAGTGTATACCACAAGTTGCAGTTTTAAGGCAGAACTACTTCTTTATGCTTTATTTGGATGTTAAACTATATTTAATTAAACAACTAATATTATATTACATATTTAGAAATTAATCAGCACAGGGCTATGTACAAATAAATATGATCATGTTTTGAAGTTTCCACAACAGTTAAAACAAAATTCTGAAGACAGTTCTGTGTCCCTGCAGTCCATGTTCCCCGATAACCCACTTATTTGGGGTATGATTAGTTTTTATTAAAATTAGTCTGCAGCATGACATTTATGTGTCTCCACCGTGGTCATTTGTCTAACTTCAAAGCGAAATTCCACTCCCAAGTGAAATTTATTGTGTTGCTACATTCTCCATGGTTAGATAAGTGGGAAAAAGCAATTAACCAGCCCAGTCATTTCCTATCTGGCAGTATTCTGTTAGCTTTAGCTTAGCAACAACAATGTAAGTGAATGGCAACAGCTAGCATTTCAATCATCTAAAAGACACCAAAGTTACCAGGCTTTTTTACCTGGTAGAGTTCTTTGTCGCGGAAAGTGACGTTGCAGACCTTAAAACTCCGGTTTTGTCTGTCCACACGCAGACACCCAAAATGGAGAAAACGCAGATCTTCACTTCGGCCAGAGTTTTTAAGGTCCTGTCCACACGTAGCCGGGGATCTGCCAAAACGGAGTTTTTTAAAAACTCCGGCCAAAGTGAAGATCTGCGTTTTCTCCGTTTTGGGTGTCTGCGTGTGGACAGACAAAACCGGAGTTTTAAGGTCAGCAAAGTTACTTTCCGCGACAAAAACATGCTGACATCTCGTGTGCGACCTGTGTTTACACTAGCCGACAACATGGATGCCCTCAGAGCTGCACTCGCTTTATCAGTTGTCCAAGCGCTTTTTGCTTGTTAGTTTTTGCAAGCGGAATTACTGCTCCTTGCGGAAGACCATAGACGAAGGACGAGGTTAAGAACGGGGGAAGTACTGCCGCCTACAGGTCTGGCATGTCCTTAACAACGTATTCATCTGGGTACGTGCGGACTGTTTTTTTTAAAAAACGAGGTGGTGTGGATGCCAGTTTTTGGAGGGGCGGATATTCGTTTTTTTTTAAAAACCCGGCTACGTGTGGACTATTCCTAAAAAGATCAGTTGTCGTGTGAAAAAACTCTGTTTTCGTGTGGATGACAGGCCAAAACGTAGAAATATATCTACGTTTTGGCAGATCCCCGGCTACGTGTGGACAGGGCCTTAGAGCTGTTTCAGTTCCGATCATCGGTTCCATCAAATGGGCCATGAGGTATTTGCACACGAACCTTTCAGAGGCTGACTACAACAAATAATCAACCAGGAAGTTTTAGTTTTAGAAAAAGCACTGCAAACACAAATGTAACCACATACTTAAATACATTTGGCTTATTCTAGGGTGGTTGTTTCAAAGTTTTTGTTTAGTCAGCTCTTGGACTTATTTTGCTTCTAATATTTCTGTATTACAATTTATTGAGATGGCCTTTTTGTTTCCAATGCCTTTTGGGTGACAATTTACAACAAGGGTTCCCATTTTAACACAACCTAGTGCAAAGGTCATTTAACTGTCCTGCTTAGTAATGCATTACAGTATATGGTTATGCAGGTATGAAAACTATTTAAAAGACTATTAATGCTTAAAGGCTGTCAAGAGGGGATTTGTAAAGGAATTGAAATAGAAATACTTATGATGTGATAAGTTATTAAGGATTCATGTTAAATTCAGCCCCCCCAAATGGCTGAAACAATTATCAATATCTAAAGAGGTTAAGACCTACATAAAGATGTAAACTTCTTCAGCCTCCTACAAAACACGGTGGAGGATCTGTCATGGTTTATAGTTACATTTAGAGGCGGCGTCACAGTGAGAGCAGGAGGTTAGGACCCAAGATGCAGAATCCCCAGAACGACTCAAGGCAGGAGAGGTTTAAGAGAACACTTCCTTTATTTTAAAGGCGGATGCGCCAAAGTCCAGAGGCACAAAAACAAACCCAACTTAACATCAAACCACTCACTCACTCACTCACTCACTCACTCACTCACTCACTCACTCACTCACTCACTCACTCACTCACTCACTCACTCACTCACTCACTCACTCACTCACTCACTCACTCACTCACTCACTCACTCACAAGCACGAACTAGGGTAACTAGAGGAGGACAGAACACGCTGATAATTACAATGAACCAACGATACGGTGACACAGACAGGGTTATATACACAGAGGGAAACAGGTGACAGGTGTGAGTAGTGAGAGAGGGAAGGCAGGTGCATACAATAATCTAAATGGGGGAAAGAAACAAGCAGGAGGGCAGATAAACCTTAACCTATAAAACACGGATAACTAAACTAAGGCCCTGTCCACACGTAGCCGGGGATCTGCCAAAACGTAGATATTTTTCTACATTTTGGCCTGTCATCCACACGAAAACGGAGTTTTTTCACACGAAAACGTATCTTTTTTAAAACTCCGGCCAAAGTGAAGATCTGTGTTTTCTCCGTTTTGGGTGTCTGCGTGTGGACCATCGACATGTATACAGACAAAACCGGAGTTTTAAGGTCCGCAACGTCACTTTCCGCGACAAAAAAATGCTGACATCACGTGTGCGACCTGTGTTTACACTAGCCGACAGCATGGATGCCCTCAGAGCTGCGCTCGCTTTATCAATTGTCCAAGCGCTTTTTGTTTGTTTGTTTTTGCAAGCGGAATTACTGCTCCTTGCGGAAGACCACAGACGAAGGACGAGGTTAAGAACGGGGGAAGTACTGCCGCCTACAGGTCTGGCATGTCCTTAACAACGTATTTATCTGGGTACGTGTGGACAGTTTTTTTTTAAAACGAGGTGGTGTGGATGCAAGTTTTTGGAGGGGCGGATATTCGTTAAAAAAAAAACCGGCTACGTGTGGACTAGGCCTTAGAGACTGAGGGCAAATATAAACAACTAATAACTAGAGGGATGAGGAGAACTAATATACAATCAAGTAGGCACTAACAGGGAGTGATATGAGACACATGAGGAGAACGCAGGACGCAAAACATGACAGGCAGAGGTGCAACCAAGTCACTGCTTTGCAAGTCACAAGTAAGTCACAAGTCTTTCCAGTCAAGTCTCGAGTCAAGTCCAAGTCAAAGACAACCAAGTCCAAGTTGTGTCCAAAGTCGTTGATGTGGAAGTCCAAATCAATTCCAAGTCCATAACTGTGAATTTTCAAGTCATAATCAAGTCATCTGTCCAACTTCAATTTAATGACAAAGATAATAAATTAATCACAGAAATAAAGTTTCTTAAAGCTTCATTTATTTGCTCAAACAAGCAGAAAGTGCAACTGAAATGGACTCTAAACAAAGTGCTGCTGCAGTTAGCAGAACAAGATCAACCCCAGAATGAAGAATGATTTATGATTTTTGTCCATGTCGTGCCATTTTTGTGATAAAATATCAAATATGCTAAGTCATCATCAAGTCAACAGATGCAAGTTGATTCAAATCACAAGTCATTGGCGTTCAAGTCCGAGTCAAGTCGTAAGTCTTTATAGATTTTATCAAGTTAAGTCAGAAGTCATTAAAATAATGACTCGAGCCTGACTTGAGTCCAAGTCATGTGACTCGAATCCACACCTTGGGTTAGAGGTGTTTGGATTTTTTCCAAAAGAGGAAGGAACTGTGAACACACAGATGAATGATCAGCTTACAATTCACCTCCAGTCTATGAAACACTCAATTGGAACAACTTCATTTTCAGCATTATTCTCTAAAAACAAAACATCACGATCTATACAGCAGAAAACCTTCAATTAAAAATGGGCTTCCCCAGAATGAAAACTGTGACTCTTGTCAAAATAAAACACTTCACATTGAGTTTCCTCAATTACTTATGAAGTGAAACAACAGATTTATTAAAGTTGCTCCATCACAGATGCTAATTTCACAGATTATTTCCTCTCTGTAGATAATGAGGCACTAATTACACAGTTGAAATCAGATGCAGCAGCGTGTGGTTTGGGAGAAAAAGAGGCACAGCTTATCCTTCATGCTATTCTCTCCATATTATTGAGAATACTGAAAGCTTGCTTAAGCATTCACGCAGATGCACAAGTGAGTATTACCTACTGACGAGATGCACAGAGATAATTTATTAGCATTTTTATTAGCTGATGTTGTTGGCATGTCCTTTAAATTTGACTTTAATGGTCAGTGGTTATTTTCTTTGTTTGTATTTCTACCCTTTTTCATTTCATTTGGCTCTGTTGTTCTGTTGCTAATAGAAATCCATCGGCCAGGTATACAATGGCATAAAAATAAAATAAATTTTCATCTTCTTTCATGAAAAAATGTATTGCAGCATCAATCATCCATTTTCATGTAACCTAACCCTAACCCATGAAACTTAACAAATAGATCAAAGAAGCTTAAGGTATGTCAAATTTGCTGTTAAATAATCAAAATGTTATTAAACCCGACAAAACAGTTTTAATGAGGTTTTGGGATGTATGTCCTACACTGACCACTAGAGAGCAGTAAGGTCCAAGCTAAATGCCTTGCTAAGAGCTGAAAACTCAGGCCTTTT